TCATGATCAAAATTTAAGGAGCTACTCTAAGCATGTTGATGACAAATTGGTTTACCCAAATTAAATTATATAAAAATATTTGTAATTTAAATTTAATCATATTTATTTTGATTTAAATTAAATTAATATATAAATTTATAGATCATGATTTTAAAAAAATAATAGTTATTTTTAAATAAAAACAAAAATAATATTATTTTATTAAAAAATATGTATTATAAATTAATTTAATAAAAAAATATTTTTTAACATAAATTATTTTCAATTGTTTTTAAAATCTAATTTAGATAAATTATTATTTTAAATTAATAAATTATTAAAAAAATACTTATAATAGAAAAAAATTATTCTTATTTTATAATTAAACAAATGAATTTTCTTATAATTTATATATTAAATTTTTATATCTTAAATAAAAATTAATTTTATTAATATAATTTTAATTTTAAAAATATATTTTTATTTTTATTTAATTTTTTAAATTAATTATTTTATTATAAATACTTTAATATTTTTTTAATTTCAATTATGTTAAAATTGATCCGTTATTTTATTAACTTAATATAAAATTATATTAGACTAAAAAGTTATAATTTATTTGAAAATATAAATTAAATTAAATTATTAAATTTTTTTTCCTATAGATTAAATTAGATGGACAGACCGCTTTAGATGTTGTATTTGTAATTAATGGTGTAGATTTTTTATTTAAATAATTTAAAACTTTGTTTTAAATGTCTTGAGCCGAGTGTGTTGAATATTATTTTGAATGAATTGTGATGGCACGTGGGTGAACAGTACCTACAGAACCACATGGGCCACACGATACCAACCAAATTCCTAACCTACTTCAACACAACAAAACTCCACTTCATGCCATTTGCTCATCAATACATTGAGAATTCAAATGAAGTTTTCTTTTTTTCTTGTTTTTTTAATGGGTAAAAATGATAAAGTTGAGTAATTTATAATTAAGAAAGATCCATAACTTAGCATAATGTCTTAAGATTTTGGGTTGATGATGGTGTTATATTCTTTTATATGATTGAATTTTTTTTATGTTGTTAGCTTTCTCGAAAGAGTCAGTCGTATCAGAGCTGATAATTTATTCGATAACTGGCTTAATTAAGTATGATTATAGTACATGAAAGATTTTTGTGTCAAAAGTATTCCTAACAAGGATTTCAGGCAAGTGAGTCCCATTAAATTAAACGACGATATAAGTAAGATTATTACTAAGTACTCATGACTAAAAAATAATTTCGCTTGAGGGGGAGGTATACCAATGTAAAAGAAAATTACACTTGAAGAGGAGATTGTTAAGAATTCAAAGAAATGTTTTAACTAGAGGGGAAGGTATACCAACGTCAAAGAAATATTTATTGTGTTTGAAATCCTATATTAGGTAAAAATGAGAAAATTGAATAACTTATAAATAAAAAATACTATAACTTATTGTATTAAGATTTTTGGTTGAAATCAACCTTATCCAATCATATAACCTTTTTATATAAGAGATTAATTTATTAGTATTAAATATAGTTTATAATCATTATCATTTGAATGAAAATATAAATTATTAAAACTTAATATATGTTTAATTTATCCTTTAAGATTTCAAACTTTAGTTTACAGCTTCTATTCCCAAAATAGAAAGGAAGTATATTGATGGAATGAAGTAAAAATTATTAAACTTAATATTTTCCAAAAATAGCTTCAAAATAAGAAAAAAAAATCATTAGAAAAAAACATAAAAAAATTTGATGTGCGTACAATAACAATCTTGCATGGTTGAATATATATATATATATAGGAATATTAAAAAAATATTTTAAAAGAGTTTGCTAGTTATTTTTTAAATGACGTGTGTTTATTGTTTTTTTTACATTGTAACTAGGGAGTTAATATTGAGAATTCCCAAATTAGTAATAAGAAAATAAATTATTGATTACTTCAAATATGTTTGGATCTATATACCAACCAAAATGAGGGTGGCGAGAAATGTAATCAAATTGGATTTTTAATATATAATTAAAAAAAATATTTTCATGAATCAAATCAATCATATTTTATATAATTTTTTACCTCATTTTTCTTTAATTTTTTATACTCTTTTCTTTAATTTAAATAATTCCAATTTTCATTATCTTTTTCTTGTTTTCTACTTCTCAATGGGTTTCTTGTTTATAATAGGACAATCCAATATAGTTTGACCTGTTTAGATGTAATGTGTAAAGCATATTTTGACACCATATTCTGATATTGATTTCCTAGTCTTTGAAGAGTGGAAAATACCTGAAGTGAAAAATTTCAAGGAAAAAAGAGACCAATATCTGAAACATTTTTCACATGGTAAAGGATCTCAAAGCTGCATAACTTAGAGAGATACCGTGTTAAATGGTGTGATGAGAATTTGATGTATAATAATGTATTTATAGATAATGAGGTGTCCCATGAGGTGTCTATAGGTAAGAGTATTAGAAAAAGGTAGTCTTGTATCAAATGACAATTTTTGCATTATCAATGGAAGTAGATATTGGTTTGCATCCTAAAAGACATGTTTCAGTCAATATTCTTCCACTGCATACTTCATTGGTTCATCAATTAGTTTCATTTGTCTTGTATTTGATCATGAATATCTACTTTATCCAATTGGAACCTCTCCTTTTACAAAATATGTGAAAGTCTAGGTTTCATTGTATTAAAATTCAAAAACTCATTTTGAATAACATTCTTTCAACAGTCATGTGTAATTATTTCATATTATGATTCATTATTAGCTCAACATGAAAAGATGACACGACAAGATGAATAAAACATAATAGATGAAATTTGGTGAATTCGTTTAGAAGATGCATCAATTCTAATATCACAATAAAAATCTTGTAAATACCTTTGTTTTAGTGCTAGAGTGAGGATTAGGTTGACAAGCATAAATAGATCTATAAGTGAGATTTGTAAATTTGTTGGTTGAGGTAAATATGAATAAAAATTATGTATGCGAATCTTTAAAGAAAATATAATTTTATAGGAATTGAATTAGGATAAAAAAAGGACTCACATCTAAAAATGATGAAACTGGTTGATAATTTTAGTTCGCTTTATCTAATTCCTTAATTTGATGAAACTGGTTGATAATTTTAGTTCGTTTTATCTAATTCCTTAATTTGATGAACTAAGAGTAAGATAAGACGACCCTCCTCTTGACCCATTTAAAAAAATATTTATATATATTAAAATAAAAAAAGATTATAATTAAAAATATTATATTTTTTATTATATTATTAAAATATGTAAATATATTATAATATAATAATTTAAATTATAAAAATTAATTAATTAAATTTAAATTATTGATAATGATTAATTATTTTAACACATAAATATAATATTTTTTCAATTTATTTAATAAAAACATTACTTAATAAATAAAAATTAAAAAATTATTTCTATAATTAAAAATATATTTAATATATATATAATTTTATATATAAAAAATAATTAATAGGTTGATCATTGGTCTCGTCAAGTATGTCTTTTAACGAAATGGGTTGGAATCAGTAATCCGTTCTACCTCATTCTTTACGGATAAAATAAAACAGAGTGACTTGTTTTTCTTCCTAAATTAAAGGAATGATTTATAGGTTTCTTTAAAGATAATGAAAATCAAATTAAATATGGTATATAAAAAGGATGAGGATTTAAGGTTATTTGTGGTATAGATAATACTTTGTAAATCTTCAAATTTTAAATAAAGTATTTCAAGGTTTAAAATACTAGTGGGTTAATTAAGAATTATTTTTAATAAATATTTTTAAAATAGAAATATAAGAAGAAAAAAATAAATAAAATTTCTTCATAAACCAAAGTTATTTAAGTTAAAAAACAAAATTTAAGAAAACTAATATATATATATATATATATATATATATATATATTCCATATCAACTTATGTATAAATTATTTTTAATTTATGAAAAACTAATTTCATTTATTTTCTTGTTATTTTTTCTAAAAATATTTGTAGTTTCTAGACATTTCATAAAAAAAAACAAAAAAACTATGACTTAAAATACTACTTCTTCCATAAAAGTACCCATACTTTTATCTCCATAACTAGCTCACATCATCATATGCCCCCATCCCCAACCATAATAAAGAATAGAGGAAAGTTTTGTTGTTTTGATGGGTTTAGTGACATGTTTAGGTAATAGTGACAAAAACTTGATTAAACAATATGACATGTTTAGAGTAATTATGATGGTCAAAGAATCTTTGATTTTAACCCAAGGGTGTTCCAACTTGGGATTGACTCAATCATAAAATAAACATTTGGATAAGAGATCACATGTATATCCATAAAATGCAATGGTAAAAGATATAATTGATATCTATTGCACATGTGTAACTATGGATCACACCAACAATTTGCAACGTATGATCACTATCTTGGTCTCCAAATGGTCCAGTCCAAGGTATAATGCAGAAACTCCAATTAAAGAGCCTCTTGTTTTATTTATAAGGCAATATCAGTGTTTTTTTCATATTTGATATTATGTTAGTCAAATATATTTTAATTCAAACTTTACCCCATATATAATAGACTACACAACCGTCATTATCCACAATTTGCTCCCTGTACTCACATGATCAGAATCTATCATCATATTTTTTAAATTCTATATATATATATATATATATATATATATATATATATATATATACATAATGAAATACTTATGCTGTCATCATGGCTTGCAAATTGGAAAATATAGGCAAGTTACAGGTGATGGAGAAAGAAAAAGAAAATCCCTGTGGGGCCCATGTTCTTAACTGGGGCCAGATTGTTCATTAGAAAAACAGTGGCATGTAGATGACAATCCCAACTACAAAAAGGTCACCCCTTCTCTTTCATTCCTCCTTCAGTTGTTACCACTCCAAACATTTTCCACAAAACACACTTTCTGAAAAGAACAAGAATCCATTTTTCTTTCCCCAACATGGCCAGACCACAACAGCGTTACCGAGGTGTCCGACAAAGGCATTGGGGCTCTTGGGTCTCCGAAATTCGCCACCCCATTTTGTAAGTTTCCACCATTCCCATGCAAGTTTCCACAAAAAATGTTGGTGCATGCTTGCAGACTATAGTGCTCAACCAATTACAAATCAATCACATTTTCATAGTCTTCAAAATCTTCAACATGCCAGTAAAAGGGTATGATTAGTATCAAACATTGATTGGTATAATCAGTAGTAGCTTGTATCTCTTAACTGTGTAGTGTAAAGTGATGTGATTTTAGATATGGAATATACCATGTAATGAAAATAAGTACTTTCAAGATCCCCGACAGTGTTGTTATATCTTCCGATATTGAATAAGGTCATGCGATTCATGAAACTGATGATGTTATCTGATAGGAAAAGGTTTTGTTGTAGTTGTTGTTGTTTTTTAAATGAATCAAACCAAATATGTAATGTTGAAAATTTGATTTTTAACTGAAGTGAATGATCGGGGTTATGAATGAAACCTATAAAAATGATTGATTTGGTTTTGTGCAGGAAGACTAGGATATGGCTTGGTACATTTGAAACAGCTGAGGATGCAGCTAGAGCCTATGATGAAGCAGCTAGGCTAATGTGTGGTGCCAGGGCAAGGACAAACTTCCCTTTCAACCCAAATGTTTCCCACACATCATCTTCTAGTTCAAAGCTTCTCTCAGCAACTTTGACTGCCAAACTGCACAGGTGCTACATGGCTTCTTTGCAAATGACAAGACAGGCTTTGGCATCATCTGAGTCTCAGAGAACACCTTCAGTGCCAAATGCCACCTCCACAACCCCACCAAGCAGCTTCATTGTCAAGAGTGACCAAACCCATGCAGAGTTACACAAGAGACCGGAGGAGGAGCAAGAGTTAGAGGCCAACAGGGGTGTTAAAAGGGTCAGAGCTGTGGAAAGTGTTCCTCTACAGTTCAAGCCTCTTGAAGAAGATCACATAGAGCAAATGATTGAGGAGCTTCTTGATTATGGTTCTATTGAGCTCTGCTCTGTCTTTCCACCCCAGGCCCATTAATGTAATGTGCACGGTTTTGAATTGAAGCTAGAGTCACAATTGTAGTTGCCATGTGATTAACAAAATTATGGGTATATGTGACTGAAATTGCAGCTGTAGTTGTGATGAACTCAAAAAGAGTGTCCACAATTGCACTTGAAAATCAAGCAAAATTCAGATACAATTTTTGAAGTGTTCTTAGTATTGCTCTTTAATCAAAACTAGAGTTTAACCTCGTGAACCTGTCTGATTGAAGTTTACATTATCGAGGAGAAACTTTAATTCTGATAAGATAACGATATCAAAACATTGTATAAAATTATATCCAAGTTTTCATTGAAGAACATGCCCATGTCACAACCAAGATACTGTTAGGCAGAACATTTGAGCATTGTGGTGGTTAACATTATTCTTAGTTATTATAATTTAACCAATTTTTCTCAACCCTGTGAGGCTCTAAGCTAGCTGTGTTCCAAAGGTCCAAGATTTCTTCCTCGTGACCCCTTTAGGTAGTGCTTTATGTACAGCCAATCACGTTGTAATGTTTGAAAAATTGTTTGTGTTATGTGGTATGGTCATGACTGATGACCTCTTCAGTTAGCGTTTGTAGCTGCAGAATGAGTCATTTTCTGAAGTGCCAGGGAAGGTTTGTCAAAGGGCACAGCTTTTAAGAAAACGAGCTAGAACCCTCTATTTCAAAGGTTGTAGAATTTTATGTACTGACATAAAAAAAAAAAAGTTTGAAATTGGTTAATAAAGGAACACAACACTCCACAGCTCATCTTGGTTGGGTTGTCGCAGTCATTAAAATAGCAGATACCATTTGGAGCGTGATTGGTTCTAAATAATGACTTGAGCCAATCCAAATACACACTTCCCAACTTCAGGAATGAATGTGAAGTTTTCCTCAGCACCATTCCACACCCTTCTCTTTGCTCTGGGAATCAGCACCCTGCAATTTGATTAACAAATAATATTACAATGACCATTGCAAAAAGTTTCATTCTTCAACTAAATTATTCGGTTTTCCGTGTTTCTGTCCTTAATCTTTTAAGAATTTTAGCTTTAGTTTTTAATTAAAATTTTGACCAATCTTAATCTGAACATTTCCTCTTTTTAATATTTATTTCATTGAACAACTATGTTAACAACTGATAAAATTGGTAGCATAACAGTGAAATGGACAACCCAGTAATCCTCACGTCATTTAGAAGTTCAGCAAAACAATCTCGTGTAATTGATTGTGATAAATTGTATTTTTTTTTATGTAATCTCAATTTCAAAATCTTAAAGTCAAAACCATTTGAGACTTGTGAATTACCGGAAGACAAACTATAAATAAAATTCTAAAAAGTTTAGAAACTAAATATTAAGTTGTTTTTCAATACAATCTTTAAAAATCAAAATTGTCATCTAAAAACAGGGAAAAGAACTAAAAATAATCTTCAGAGGAATGTTCTTAGAACCGTAAAATGATTGCGGTCTCGGGAAAATTAAGACTATAAAATGCATAATTTCATGTCTCCCCTTCTTTAATTGACTCAGTAACGCCGGCAAAACCATTCTATATGTTTTTTTTATACAATGAAAAGTATTATTATCATCTTTCATTACCAAAACACCAATTTCAATATTTTATAAAGGTTCTTCCCTTTGTACAATGAAGCTAATTCTACTATTCTCCATGACTATTCAAGTTTATGACTTTTAACCTGGGATTTGTTAATTTTGATTTTGTATTCAATCACGGATATTATTCAAAAGTTTGCATACGACAACAGCAATAAAAAAGTCAACTTTAAAAGATATATTATCACATAAAAAATTACATCACTATTTTTTGTTCCTTACAAGTTTCAACTAATTTAGCTTCTATTTAAGCTTTGTATTAAATGAGTAAGATGAGGTGGAGTGCAATTGGTATTCTTGTGGTATTTATAATGACTTTTAAGGTCTAAGTTACCAAAATTTTCAAAGAATAGTATTGCAAGAAAGAGGGTCTTAGATCATAGCTATGCGAGGGGGTCAGATATTTATAAGAGTTCATCAACTTTAATATAATATTGAACGTGTTAATTTAGTTCCAATCAATGTTAAATTAGAGGTAATTGTTACTTGTTGATTTAAGAATATTTTGAACAGGACATTGTCCCATAAATATGACTATTTTTTTTTTTTTGGTAGCGTTTATCAAAATCAATTTACCAAATGGTTAAAGATAATGACTTTAATGAATTTTTAGTTTATTTATAACTTTTTTTTATTGGCTCATAACTTCAGAAGTGTTGATTAAGATGGAATGTATAAACCAATTAAAATATCTCAAATTAGATTTACTAACTTTTTACTTATCCGAATGCCCTTTTTAAAAAAAGTTAGATATTTTAAAGATTTGGATTTGGATATGAATTTATAAATGAAAATTTAATTTTATAAAAAAAATTGTTATTTTGATAAGAAATATAAAAAATATTACAGAAATTTATGATAAGAAATTGTTATTTATTCAGTGACACTGTTATTATCTAATCAATGTTAATGTTAATTGGGATTTTCTCTACACAAAGCTATATATATATAAAAATATATTTGGTGTGGTAAGTTTTTTTTAGTTTTTGAAGTATGTGATTTTTTATTATTATTTTCTGACATTATATTTTTTTATTAATGTCACTAATTAATTTTTTTTCTAAAGTTATGATTGTTTGATATTAAAATAAATTTTATATTTGATAATAATAAAAATACTCTATTAAATAAAAAATTAAATTTAAATTTTATGTATTTAAAATTTCTGAACATTGTGAAATTTTTTATCCAACACAAAATTAAATTCTTCTTAAAAAAGTTTTACGTTCTGCATTATAAAAGGGGTGGTTATAGTTATTTTTTTAGACAAGAGATTTATTGTAAATGTTACAAATTTAAAATATAATGAAGTACAATGTATTAAATTTAAACTATTGATAAAAATAATTTTAAATTTCTTCACATTAATCTCACATATGAATATTTTGTTTGATTTCATTTATTTTTTACTTTTTAAAAATAATTTTAATAATTAATTTTCAAGTATTGGTTTTTGAAAAAAAAATTGAATTTTTGTTATAACTTTAAAATCTATATGACGAAAGCAAATGATATAATCTAGGAACAATTTTTACAACTTCATAACAAAGATAAGCAACTTAACACAATTACTTGCAAATACCACATTTTATAGGTTTTCATCTTTATAATAATTAAAAAATAAAATTATTTTTTAAAAACTATTTTAACAAAACAATAACTAAATAAGTTTTTAATTTTTAAAAACCAAAACATTAAATAAACAACCTTCAAACCATTTGATTTTGTCAAATTTCACCTAATAACATACTTCTTTTGTATTATTTGAACAGTGTATAATCATGTCAAAATCTACAAGCTTTTTCATGTTCTGTTTAACAAAAGAGTTTGTTTTATGAATCTCCATCCAAAGTGAACATAGGTTAACACATATGGATAAAGATAAAGAGTTAACTTTTATCATTCCCATGAATGCAAATTTGATTCTTGTAACAAAATTAAAATCTTACTCAATGAAAAGACCATTTCGAAGAGATTTTTTAACATCCAAAAACTACTGTTTATAGTTTAAAGATGTAGAATAATCTTTTGGATAATTTTGCTGATAGTTTGAGCATGTAATTGAAAGAGTCTTTTCATGCTACAACTTTTCTCAATGAAAAAATAGTCTCCACCTAAAGGATGAGGTATTATTTGTGGTCCTCAATCATAGAATGTAGATTGTACAAAAGAAAACCCCAAACCCCAGTTCAGCTGACACCTTCTTGTTGCAAACAAAACCAAGCTCTGTTGAGATCCTATGAGAGGCATAACACACACAGCCACATAGGATTTCCAATAATTTTCCAAAGGAATGTACCTGAAACAATAAAGTTTTGACTTGCTGCAAACATATATGATTAGTGTTGCAGAGTAGGATGACATTCTGCTAAATTTTCAAAATTCAAAATACCTTTCTAAATTATTGGCCTTTTGTTTTGGATTGCTAGCTCCTTTAAAGTGAATGGACACTGAATGAGATTGAGTGCTTGTTCTAATCATTTATTCAAGGGCCCATTTCCACCTTAAAAGCCTTACAACATTCATCTTTGCACCAATTCCCCCCCCCCCCCTCATTTTTCCCTCTCCCCAAAACTGCAACAGACCATTACAGATTCAAGTTCCATGTTTAGCCTACAAACTTGTCATGGTTACACACTAATTAATAGCTACTCACCAATTTCACATTGTACAATCACACAAAGAAAAGGACAGTGTATAATTAATGAGGTAGAAGAGTGAAAAAGTTAACTGGGAGTTTCCTTTTCTCTCTTCTTTTTTGTTAAAGCGTGAAGGGCAGAAAGTGAAGTTAGTTCATGTAGCAGTGCCACTTTTGCTAAAGCAATTCGTTATTCTAAATAAAATCTTTTTTTATTCTATCTAACTAAAATCTTTGAATCTGATGAAACTTCACCGTGAAAACGGTTGTGTGTGATTGAAATCACCGAATTCCTATTGGGTAATTCCAATGGAAAGACAGTGTACAAAAGTGATTGTAACGACTTCATTTTTTTTATCAGAACAAGGTAACGGTTATAAGCTTAATCTCTTAAGTTTTATCTTTTCTTTTTTAATATATTATTTTCACATAAATGATAAAAACTGGAACTCCTATAAATATATGTCATTTGAAGAAAGTGAATATGTGATTTCATGTCATGTTGACATTGCTGGTTGATCAGAACCTGTGACTTTTTTTTTTAGCACTTCAGTTTCTTTTTTATTTCAAATTATAGTTTCCTTGTATAGGTCTTTTTCTTTGGTTGTTTGACCAGTGGATGATACTTCAGATCGAGACATATTAGTTAAACATCATTTTCTAGTAATCTTTGGCAGGTTCATTAGCTCCAGATCTAATAATTGAGATCACTAATTGACTCCTGTCACAGTTCTAGTTCTTATCCACATAATAA